TTTTCGCTGCCTGTCTCTTCTGACAGCCTCTTCGTTTTCGCCTGTAAGTCTTCTAGTTTGTGTGACTTAAGACATATACCATCCATGTGCGAAATCCAGATCTTATAGTCTTCTCATCGGTGGTCCATTGTAATCCTGTCTCCTCGCTCCCCACAGTCTGACCCATAATCCCGTCTACCACAGTTAAGAATATCATCGGTGATAACAGATCCAGTGTTTGTATGCAAGGACTTAATAGTTACAGGTTCAACCACAAGCTGACATCATTTAAAGGACTATTCAAAAACCGTTAAGTAGTACTAGACAACTGTCTCTTCAGCAGTTGGCATCCACATAACCTAAAGCTCTCCAGGCGAGCTCATATACCATTCAGCCATTGGGAACCAATCCGAAGGTTCTTGAAGCCTAACTCCAGCCAGTTTACGATATATAGCTTGGTAGTTCCCTTTGGCCATGACTTTTATTGATCTATTTGAAACCAATCAGATGAGATTTAGATCGGTTGGAGGATATGTCTCGATGATGCAGAAGGCACTGCGACTATTGCTAGCAAACATTAATCATAGAAACTGAGCTAGTCATAATGGACTAAAAGGGGAATAATCTTGTATAGTTTATTATTATTGTCTGGGATTCCTAGTGAACATAGAGCTTCAACAACATATCTCCACTTTTTCCTATTTTCTACCGTCCACTTCGGCTGGTTAATCGAATGATTGCTCATAATATCCTATCTGTTCCTCCACAACACACGATCTCCTCCGTGTCACCCTCTCACCAACAACCCACTCGTCGCTTTCTATTTGGATTCCACTCAGTTAATGGCCTGCACTGAATGCGATATCATTCGACGGCCTCCTCAGCTTGTGCTGTATTCATCTCCACTTTCCCCCACATATTTGTTGAGCAATCGCCACTTGGTTGGTTCGTCGTGGCAGAGTTTCTTGTTGCTAATTCTTTCTCGTCGGTCAGCCATTTGATCTTCAGTATGGAGCAATTCATCGAAGTGGGCAGCTATTGGTAAAAGTCTGCATCTGGCTGTCACAAACGCTTTTATTGACTCCCGTGCAGTGCAAGTTTCTCACCCGTATAGAAGAACTGACTGACTCACTTCATAGTTGTGTTGAACAAAATCCGAATCTTGTTATTTATGCTGAGGTTAAGTGAAGCATAAGATTTGTAAACTGGTTTCAGATTGATGAAGGTCTGTTTTGCCTTTCCGATTTTGGTCTCCTTTGACATCTTTATCCGTTCCGACTGCCTGTGGTTGAAACCGTGCATCCTCACCAGATAAGTGAAGGAAGTAAACTCTATTAAATCTCTCCCTTTGGTGCTGATTGGTGCTGGTTGTTGTTGTTGCTGCTGTTGATTGGTTGGTGGTTTTCATTACCTCCGTCTTCTCTGTGTTCACCTGCAGTCCTGTCTTCATTGTCAGCCTCTTAAGCCAGTTTGTTGGTTTTCTCCTGTAAATCTTGGAGTTTGTGTGACACTTGAGAAACACGCCAAGTGTCTGACTCGTATAGAAGGACTAACTGACTTGACATTGGTGTTGAAAATCCGAATGTTGTTCCTGTATAGTTTGGTTGACTTAAAAGTAAAATTAATCCTAAATATTATCAAATATGAGGCGGATGGTATTAAAAAAATATTGATTACAAACATTTTTATCTTTCTATTATATAGATACATCGACACCAGCGAAACGAAAATGTAGTGACTACTCTCCCATGACATCATATCCTAACTGTGTAAATGGGTAAGATGATCGTTCATATATTTTATTTCATTTAAATCCAGATAGTACTGAGCATCCATTTCGTCTTAGATAAGGACTCGTCAACAGAGTTCATCCACGATTCTAACACAGGTCGAACCTGGAATCTTCAGGTTTGCAGAAGAACCATGTGGACCAATTCAACCACTTGGGCAGGAGTTCAGTGACCTGTGAATACTAATTTTGTCACTTCGCTATAGAGCACTACCGTTAACCGATACGACTGGTCACATCTTGTCGCCAGAGATTCAGAAGAACAACCAGTTGGCCGCCAATCGGATGGAGATTAATATTTAGATTATAGGTTTTTTTGGGGATCTTGGATTGATTTCAGTATGGATTCGGTGACCAACCAACATCAGGGAGGTCTGGACAGCTGTGTCGTCTTATCATCAAACTATTCATCGGCGAGTGCTCACAACAGAAGATTCTTTTTGCGTTACAAATCCCCCCTGTATCCATTAGGAGACAAACGGATAGATTAATGATTTAATTCAGTTTTAGATTTTCCCGTCCATTGATTGGACTGCGTCAGCTGGATGTGCCTGCATTCCGCAGTGAGTCAGTGATGATGTTCCCACCGAGGCTTTGGGGTTCGAAACTATGGACACTGGGTTCGAGCCTCTGTGGAAACATCATCACTCACATCATCCACATGATGAGTCCCAAATAGGACGAAACTTCGAGTAGAATAACGTGTTGAAATTTAGTGAAATTTACCGTCATATGTGATTGTATATACATTTACAAGATTAATTAACCCCGAGGATAACTGATAATTATTGTTCCCTTAAGTTCCGAGTGTGGTGTGGGCTTCAGAAGCACAACCACATCTTACTCTGTTTTCTACAGTTACTTTTGGCTGATTTCTTGATCTCCTATATACTTTCATCTGTATCTCCTCCACGTCACACATGATTTCCTCCGTATCACACCAGGAAAAACGCCCAACTCGTCACTTCCTATTAAGGGTTCGACTCAAGGGTCTGGCGAGTAATGTCACTTGATAGTGGCATCAATGTATTTCCAGTTCATCTTCATTTCTTCCAACATATTTATCGGGTAATAGCTTCTTGGTTGTTTCGTTGCCATAGTTAACTGGAGCCTAATTCTTCCTAATTAGCTGATATGCCAAGCGCCTGAGCTATATTAAGGGTACTGAATGACTAAACATTAGTACTGAAGTTATGGAATATGCTTCGCCAGTTAGATTAAGTCTCTACACTCTACATTCCTTCTTTATGAGTGTGGTGGCCAGAATTACTCAACACATTTCATCTTCATATATTTGGTTTCCCTGCTAAACTTCAATAGCGAAAAGCAGACGAAATTTGTAGTATAAAATGATATCGTCACTTTATTTCATGGGGTTTCATCAGCTGCACACACCTACCTGAATTTACAAAGGTTATGTAGATGATAATAACATACATTAGTGTTTAAGTGATAGTAGAGAAGAAATACTATGGAATTGACGCATCCAAAATGTAAACGTCATAATTTTTAGTTTAAGTTTTCATCATTAATTTATACGTTTTCAAAGTAGGAATGGGGGGGAAGGGGTAAGACAGAAAGCAGAAAAAATTTACAAACAATGTTAACTTGTAGATTCACATAGCAACTCAAAAAACAAAAGCAGTTACAGTTTATATTATTGACATTTGCTCAGTGAGTTGAGATCACTGAAATAGATGACTAATTGGTGTTATCAAAAATCAAAATTCAGTTACTAAGGGAGTAAGAGATTAATCACACTCTCTTTCTGTATGCATAAGTCTGGTTGGTGTGAATCGTTTAATTGCGATCGGTTCGGCATATCGCAGAAAATTTGCTGTCCTTTGTCCATTTAATATTTTGAAGGACTTAGAAAATCTCTATGAGATGTCCGGTATCAACAGTATGTCTGGTAATTGCACTCTGAGAATATTTGCTTCCTATCAGGCACAGGTTTCTTGGAATATGCTCAGAAAACTGGATAGAAGTCCTTCTTTCCGCCAGTCCAATGTACTTGCTCCCGCAAGTGCACGTAAATTCATTAACGCAGTTGGGGGGGGGGGGGGTGGAATCAGCAGGGTATTTATTTAGTTTCGAGTGGCTTATAGAAGAAGTGGTGCCGTATAATGTTATGAGTTTAGCTGCAGTTGGGAAGCTTCTTTTTATATTTCACCTTTCAGTCTTTTGTCAATCCTTTGTGACACTGCATTTCATCTTTATCAGTCCAACGTGTTCCATCGAATGATTTATCCTGCCTAACTGAGTTGATCCAGTACATGTACAGATGCATCCACTCCTCGTGACTTATAATTTCCAATAAATCTATATTGTTTTTCGATACTACTATTCTTTTTGCTCTATATCTCTGTTCACTGTCTCTACTTTGCATTTCTGTTTACTTTCTTCTCTGGCTTTGTATGCTGAGTGAAGTGTGACAACTTGAACTGCTGCACATCGGTGAAAAGTTCTATGTTGAAACCAGTCAGTCAGTCATTACTCATCAACTCACCAACAAAATAGAGGCTCTTACGTCAAGTTAAACTAAGCTTGTAAAGACAGAAGGCAAGAGTCAGGCAACAGATCATTTATTAAGGAAATCAACGCATATTTATATATTTTCATGTACATTACTATGGATATTTAAGCAAACAAACACAGTCTTCCGATTGGTTGTTTCTCACGTAAAGTTAATCTTTCATCTATTTGTGACTGTTTCTTGAATTGTATGGAGGATTTCATCATGAGCTGACATCAGTTAGAGAACCACTGGAAAACCTGGGAGTACTGGACAGCTGTTTCGTCCTAGTTTGGGACTCTTCAGCAGTACGCACCCACCGGGATTTCTTGAATGTCAAATCCTCTATATGTTAACTGCATCCGCCTACGCAAAGTCTGCTGTGGTCGGTTTTGAATCAATCTTTGTTCACATTTTCTCACGACAAATCTTGGGAACGTAAATATTGACGTAAATTACTGTCTATCAATTTGGCTAGCAGACAGCTCTCACCACAAATAGTGTCATGATAATATCTATTACAACTTTTGACAACATTCTGCTTAAAACTGCAATGTGTTTTTCACTTACCTTACAAAAATTAACAGGTACCATAAATCCTCAGAATATACATCAGAAACAATTCACATTAACGAAACAATCAATTCAACCGTCAACTCTTCCGATATCAACTCCATTTCAAATCAAGCGCCCACTACCAAAAGACGAAGTCTTACAATGAAATGCTATAACAAATTCACTAAAAATGTGACAAAACAATTTATTCGTCGTAACAGCACAGGAAGTTCAAAGATTTCCAAGCCCTATGGCCAACCGAGTGACAATTCAAATCACAGAAAACCTAATATGTTAAATGTCATTAGACGATCTGCGAGACGTACCCTGGGCACTATACGTGATATGTTGAAACCTTCGAATTCATCCACCTCAGTCGTGTCAAACTCATCGGATGTTAATGAAACCAAATACGAATCACAGTGTGATGATCAATGCTTTGTACCCCCGGATCAGATCGCATCCTTAACAGCACCTTTGTTAGATGAAGGTCTAGATGGAAATGATGAGGATCATGGCCTTGTTCACGCCGAATCTAATTCCTCAAATTCTCTACGATATGTCACCCTATCAAAATCTAGTCAAGATAGCACATTCGGTTTATTTGTTACAAAATCTAACCTGGGTAAGTGAATTTCGTGTTAATTGTAATTTTCTGCTAAGTTGATACCATTTTAAGTTTTTAAGAACCATTTATGCATATTTTGTAAAGGACAAAACAGTGACTGGGTAAAGGACTAAGTTGACTGCCTTTGTAGCGAGACTTCGTGATATGTGGGGTCCAACCGCTCTAGTTGAACCAGTTGGCAGAAGAAGCATCCAGAGAAGATAGGACTTCAGGTGAACATAGAGAAAAAAGAGGTGATGAAGATTCCTGGAAAGAACAATAACAACAGACACTAATCAGCCAGCATAAATGGAAGGGACCTGAAAGAAACAACTTCCTCTACCTGCCTGGGAAGCATCGTTTCAACTACAGGCCAACGGAACTGACGAGGATATCAAAGCAAGAATCGGAAAAGCAAGACAAGCTTTCATTTCTCTCAAGTCTGTGTGGAGGTCAACAGCACTCAGCATTAAAATGAAAATGAGATCCTAATTTTCAAGTCTAATGTGAAGTCAGTGCTACCATACGGATCAGAGACTTGCACTGCGCGTCATAAAGAGCATCTCAAACAAACTACAGACCTTCATTAACAGTTGTCTTCGCTCAATTCTCAAGATCAGATGGCTGGCCAGAAAAGATCAGCAACAGAGATCTCTGGCAATGAGCGAACCAACCCAGCAGGAACCAATTGTGCAACAAATATGCAGGAAGAAATGGAGATGGATTGGCTGGCCATACTCTGAGAAACCAAACCATCAAGTGACATCACTAGACAAGCCATCGCTCGAGTGGAACCCGAAAGGGAAGCAGCGGGTTGGTCGTCAGTGCAAGGGTGACTTGGAGGAGGTCATGTGAAGAGGAGATGAAAGCGTGTGGCCAGACTTGAAGCCAGGTGAAGACTCTACCAGAGAACCGAACGCAATGGAGACGCACAGCTGAAGCCCTATGTTCCTCTAGGAATTAAAAGAAACCATAATAATAATAATACAACTGCTCGGGTGTCAGAATAATCACTCACTGGTGATATTGGCTCGCGTTCGAGCTAAAACAAAGAATTGTTAGGAGCCACTGAGTCAGATCCCAGTAGTTGAATAGTGTACCAGTTCGACTTGTAACTGGAAGGTGATGGGTTCGAAACCTGACGGGTGAGTATTGACGACAAGTTCTACACTAGGACGAAACAGCTGTCCAGTGATACCAGTCCTTGATCAAACCTGAAAGTGAAATTGGTAATAAATACAGATGGGAAAGAAAGACCATATTTGTGGTATAACACGATATCCATTCTATTCCATAAGTACTCATCAGCTGCAGACCACCACCTGAAATTACAGCGGTTGATAAAAGTGACAATAACATACTTCAAAGTTTGAATGGTAATAGAGGAAACGTTATACAATTAATGCATCTGAAATATAAGCGTTACAAAAGAAAATAGAAAAGAAAGGGGGTGGGAGAGAAGACAAAAAACAGTAAAATACATGTGTAGTCTAAGCTTGTAGGTTCACATAGAAACTCAAGAAATTTTTTATAGGATGAAAACTTGCTCAGTGAGTTGAAATCACTAACATGAATGACTAATCAGTGTAATCAAAATCCAGTAGTTACCAGGACAGTCAATGAGAGGTTGATTACACTCGCTTTCTGTATGCATAAGTGTGGTATGTAATTGCTTCAACAGATCGTATTAATTACAGGATTTCATCATGAACTGACGTTGGTTAGAGAACCATTAGAAAACCAGCTGGGAGTACTGGACCGCTGTTTCGTCCTAGTTTGGGGCTCTTCATCAGTACGCACCCACCGCCAGGGTTCGAACCCAGGACCTTCCCGTTACAAGGCGAGATCGTAGACCATTAAACCACTGGGACCAAATTCAATGGCGAACCCATGAATTCTAACTTCTGCCAATTCACGACATAGCGCAACCGCTAGCCAATATCTTCGGCGAGTATATGTCGTCACACCCGAAAGATTCAGAAATCTTGACGAAATTACTTGTATCCAAAAGGTAACTGCACTTTGCAAATATCTTCTTCCTTTTAGGCAGAGGTTTTTTCATCGAAACACAATGGGGTCTTATTGAAAAAAAATGCTTTATGGCTGTGAGACATGGCCATTGAGAGTGGAAGACATGAAAACGCCGACTAGCTGTCTCCGATCATAAGTGCCTGCATTCTATCTCCCGTGTTAAGTCGTATAATAGGGTGAGCAATATTGAGGTTAGGTGTGAATTGAGTGCTAGGTAAGGAGGGAGGGGAAATCAATAAACGAGGCTGTGACGCAGCTGCATAGAATGTGATGGTTAGGACGTGTGTTACGCATGCCTAGCCTAATCGTCGACTTCCAAGATCGCTCGGCAATGCTAGCTGACATTGGATGGATCAGATTGAAAAAGAGTTAGCCAGTGGTGGTCGAACTAAAATATCGCTTCACCAGTCAATGAAATAAATCCACAACAGTTAGTTTAAGCTAGACAGCTAGTCACGTAGGAAGGTGTAGATTTCCGCATCGAGGTCCCCCTTACGGTAAACACCAATGACGACTGAAGACAATTGGTGATATGGCCGAAAAATCGTTCTCAATGGCTCTCGCAGATGCATCCACTCCTTGTGACTTATAATTTCCAATAAAACTATATTGGTCTTCGATACTGCTATTATTTTCGCCTCATATCTCTGTTTACTGTCTCTGTTTTGCATTTCTTTTACTTTCTTCTCTTGCTTTGTGTGCTATATGCAAGAGGATCAGTGGATCCAGTTCACTTGATTCCTAACAGAGTTGATATTCAAGTGTTGGTTTTTGCAGGAGATTGATTTGATTGGTTACAGGATATCATCATGAGCTGACATCACTTAGAGAAATATTGGAAAACCATTTAGGCGGGGAGCACTGTTATACAGCTGTTTCGTCAGTCTAGTTTTAGATTCTTCAGTGGTACGCACCCACCACCACGGTTCAAACCTAGTACCTCCCGGTTACAAGGCGATCTCATAGACCATTAGGCTACTGGGATCCACTCCAATGGCCAGCCCATGGATTTCAAATTCTTCCAATTCACGATAAAGCGCCAGGACCAGCCAATGTCGTCGGTGAAGAGTATTTGGCCTCACACGCAACCTGCTGTACCACACTGGTCACGATTTCTGAATAACAACTGTTATTTAAGAATGTTATTAATAATAATAATTTTTGCTTTATTCCAAAAACAGTACTAATGATAGAGCAAGGAATTTTCAGCATTCAGTACAATATTGCATCTAATTTACTCAAAACGACAAAAAAATAAACAATTACATAATAATGATAATAACGAAACGTTGTTATAGTAGCTATGTAGCAATTACAGTATGCGATAAGGAGAAAAATATGCATAAAGTATAAAATTGCAGTAATAATAGTAATAGCAACTAAAATAAAAATAGCCAAGTTTTAATTAAACGATAGAAAGGGTGACACCATAAAATTTCAGAAACATGAACAATGAAAGGGTCGATTCACTATGCTAATTACATAGTAACTTATATGTTTCACGTTTAACAGAGTCTCGATCACATAAAATAAGGGCTAAATACGGTATTGTAGAATTTTTGTACTTAGTGGTACGAGCATATAATTTCTTATATTGATTTCTCGTCCTACCTGATGAGATACAAGGGGATAGTTGTGAATAAAGAGGGTGCAGAGGGTCTGACAGTACCATCTTTGCCCACTTTGTACAGGAATTTACGTGTCTCTCGACTATAATATTGGCGGGCTCAAGCAGTGGCGAACCACAAGCCCTACTCACAACATTTAATACCCTTCGTAATATGATATAGTCTTTTTTGAGAAGCCCAGGAAAGATTAATGGAGAGCAGTAGAGTACAATAGGTAAAATACAGGAGTTTACAAACTGCAAAAGTAAAGGTTGGTTGATACCTGATTGTCTTAACTTTTTAATGTAGGAGGTAAGACGAAACATTTTCTTAGAGACTGATGAGATGTGGGATGACCATGAAAGGTCAGAGGAAAGGTATTTAATGCTTGACTTGGTTTCAATTTCAGTGACGTCTGTACTACAGGCATCATGGGAACTAACTAGTTCATGTATGTCACGTCGATGCTTGAAAGTGAAGTTAACTGACTGACATTTGGAAGGATTTAACATAAGACCATTTGACTTAGACCACTTGGTGATGTCCAACAGAAAGCTATTAAGTTTGGAGCAGTCAGACTCGAAAGTGATAGGCAGTGATACAGTCAGATCATCAGCATATTTGACAAAGTTAGTTTCATTTAATTGAGGCAGGAAAACGCCAGCTTTCAGCTGGTATTTCGTCATGAACCGACATGATTTAAGGAATGATTGAAAACCCTAAAGTATTGGACAGCTGTTTCTTCCAAATCAAGGACTATTCGGCAGTGTTCACTGACAACCTAGCCAGGCATCGAAAACAGAACCTTCAAATTTCACATTTCTCTGTGGAATTGAAATTCAATGATTTGTGAATCCAAACATCTATGAGCTCGAGACACAACGTCACCACTAAACATGAGTATTGATGGGTGGTGACAGCTTTACCCCTAATATGGTAGACAGTACCCGTTCACAACTTATTATCAGAACCTAAGGACACCTGTTCTGTATTTATCATCAATGAGCAGGAGGTGATACTCGCTAACCGACGGTACTAAGTGCGAACACTTTTGGAGTCGTACGTGTAACTACCTGAATAGACCCAAACTAAAGTGAATCAATATGACCCGTTGCACAAGAAACAGTGGCTCTCGTGGCCCAAGTGGTCTAGTGGATAACGCTGTTGCGTTTGAAACTATGGGCACTGGGTTAGAGCCTCGGTGGGAACATCATCACTCACTGAGGAATGCAGGTACATCCACTAGCTGACGAGTCCCAAATAGGACAAAATGCGCGTTATCCTGGATTACTCCACTACTAGTCACCATCCACCAATTAAATACAGTGAAAAAGATCAAAATCCACACAATCTCGATCATCTTGTTGCATTTCATTTACTCTATGAACCATGCATTCTATATATTCCAATTTCTTTTCTTTTAATTTCAGGTTATCGTGTGACACGTTTAACGGTGCGATTAATTCTAAACAATTCAAGTCCATTGCGTATTGGTGATGAAATTATCCAAGTGAATGGCATAGATTGCAGACAATTAGATATTGATCAGATGCAAGAATTATTTCGACAGAATCAAACTATTCAGCTGACAATCATTGATGAATAAATCCTTTCTTCGCCCACCCTTCAATGCTTTAGACGTCTTGTGCCGCAATGTGATATCCCCTGGAAGGCAGAGTGAATTTCCCCGCTTATTCCTAAAAACCCCCATCCCTCAAGAAAAGACCAGATCCCAGTGTCATCAAATTTTCTTTTATTACTTTTTGATTTCATTCTTACTTTTTTTAAAAACTTTGATTTATTGATTATGTATGCACAGAATAAAACAGATTTTCACCAATAAAGTGTCTTGTCTATTCTCTAGGTTTCGACCGGTAAACCAGCGTATCTATTGGGTTGTTCATTGGTATTTCAAAATCTGAGCGTTTGTCATTCTTTTGGATGATTGTAAGCTGTGTACGAAAACTGTATATGCGTTACGATAACAGACAACCTCTAGGAGATTTTTGAATCCAGCCGTAAAACGCTCGGCAGTCAATCCTCACTTGGTCCGGAATTCAATCCTCGAACCACGGACACATTTATAAACCACTCTTAGCTGGCACTAAGCCGCCAAGTAAAAAGGCTAGCAACCCCATCCTGTAACCAGAAGGACCTTGGTTTGAACCCCGATCGGTGTGTGCTGATGAAGAGTTCGAAACCGGGACGAAACAGCTGTCCAGTACTCACAGGTTTTCCAATGGTTCTGTAACCGGTGTCAGCTCATGATGAGATCCTGTAACCTTCAATAACCCTAACACACTTCAGCGACTCAGGGATTGACTTGCTACCAGGGAATAATCTCGTCGACTTAGAATATGCGGATGATATAGTCCTTCTAGGCGAGGACGCTGACAAAATGCAGAGTCTACTGAATACCTTGAGCAACAATCTTCGTATGTTTGGCATGCGATTCGCCCCTGTAAAATGTAAGATGATGCTGCAGGATTGGACTACATCGACCCCTAGATTAGAAATTGGAAATGAAGTGGTAGAGCACGTTGACCACTTCACTTACTTGGGAAGTTCCATCAGCCCAAACGGGTTGATCTCCGACGAAATCTCAGCACGAATACAGAGGGTTGGTTTCGCATATGCCAGTTTACGCCTTCTCTGGCGTAGACGTGATATCCGACTATCGATCAAAGGGCGTGTATACTGCTCAACAGTCCGCTCCATCCTCCTTGATGACTGTGAGACGTGGCCATTGAGAGCGGAAGACATCAAAAGATTAGCTGTCTTCGATCATAGGTGTGTGCATTCTATCTCCCGCGTGAAGTGGTATAATAAGGTGAGCAGTATTGAGGTTAGGCATGAGTCGAGTGCTAGGTAAGGAGGGAGGGGAAATCAATCGACGAGACTGTGAAATTACATCGACTGAGATGATTAGGACATGTGTTACGTATGCTTAGTCATCGCCTTCCTCGACGGTCAATGTTAGCTGATATAGGGCCAGGCTGGAAAAGAGCTATCAGCGGTCAAACGAAAACATGCCTTCATCAGTCAATGAAATCTACAACAGTTTGTCTAAGCCACGTAGGAAGGTGTAGACTTCCTGACTGGTTGGGTTCCTCGGGACAGTAAAAACCAATGGTTGGAAACAATTGGTGACATGGCTCAAACTCATCGTTCTCAATGGCTGGCTGGCGCAGATGCATCCAGTCCTTGTGACTCATGATTTCCAATGAAACTGTTTTGTTCTTCGTTATTACTATTCCTTTGTCTCACACCTCCGTTTACTGTCTATATTATCCATTTCTTCTCTTCCTTTGTGTGCTACAAAAAGGGAGTGTGGAGACTTGAACTGGCACACGTATGCGCAGAGTTCTATGTCGAAAATCCACCGACCTGTAACCAATAAAACAACTGCTAGTTCATAGCTCAAGGTCCTAAGTTACGCAAATGATAAGAAAATTGTCACAGAGTTTCCATTTCGACAGGTATTGCCTTATGCACCTGTCTGCATAATTCTTATTGTTGTCTACCAACTGATTAGTTTGTATTCTCTAAAGGATCCACATCACGTGCATACAAACCTCCTGACCTTATATTTCATACTCTCTTTGATGTTACTTGAAAGTTGGTAGCTGGAGGTGAAGTGACTGACAAGTGCTTCATTTCATTCTCGGGCTCGTCACCTGAGTTTACCCATATTATATTGAGTGTTAATGCACCTTACCTTGTAACCAGCAGGTCCTGGGTTTCAAACCCGGTAGGTACGTACCTCTGAAGTATCCAAAACTAAACCGCGACAGCTGATTTCCCCATGGTACTCTGACGAATGTCAGCTCGTGATCAGACCTGTGACCATTTGAATCCTTGTAAATCAGGATTTGATAATTCCTGTTTCTCAAGTATTGATTTTATAGAGATTTTGTTTGATTGGTTGGAGGATTTCAACATCACTTAGAGTACCATTGGAAAACCACCAGGCAAGGAGCACCGCCAGATAGCTGTTTCGTCGGTCTAGTTTGGGACTCTTCATCAGCACACACCTGCTACTAGGGTATGGGGTGGCCACTGAGGAGTCGGGTCCCAGTGGCTGATGAACTGGTCTACGAGCTCGCTAGCCTTGTAACCAGAAGGTGGTAGGTTCGAACCGTGGGGGTGGGTGCGTACTGCTGAAGAGTCCCAAACTAGGTTGGTGAATCAGCTGTCTGGCAGTACTCCCTGCCTGTTAGTTCTCCAATGGTTCTCTAACTGATGTCAGTTCACGATGAAATCCTCCGACCAAATAAACAAAATCCCTACAAAAACCAATACCTGTGAATTTTTTTATTGACACTATGGTAAATCCATTCTACAGCTTTGATAACATTTCAGATTATTTCCAACATGAGGGTAGATTTAGTAATGTACAGTACTGTCTACGTTCCATGTTAAATTTATGACATAAATGTCTAGTACTTCCGGCCGATTGTATGAAAAGGAAACCCTCATTTTTAATTGTTGTCGCTGGTGTTGTTGATCTAAATTTCGCACCCCTGAATTCATCTGATATCTGTTTATCGAAGATATATTTTTCACCTATCACCGGTGAATTTGTCTGGATCGACAATGATATTCAGTAATAAGATGGTAAGTGGACCATACTTGTAGTTAAATTATGACGTTTCCGAAATTAGCAATAAATGGTCTCTTGAATCTCTTATTTGAGAGTTGCATCTACGTGTTACGCAGATAGTACTGAATATGAATAAAATGAGTGTATTTTATTCAAAAGCAAAACTGGAAACATTATAAAGATATCTCCTTAGGGATTCTTTCTTTCACGTTCGCAGTGGAACATAGGAACTCAGTCAGCTCGTCACTACATTAGTTGAAAGCCATCTCAATACATGCGTAAAGTGGTCAAAAACCTTACTCTCCGACCCCCAACACCCCCTCTATTCCCAACTCTCACCTTGTATCTCATCAAGTAGAACCAGAAATCAGTATAAAATAATCTATGCTCGTACAAACAAGTACAGGAACTCAACGACACCATATTTGGCCCGAGTTCTAAGCGACAGAGTCAATGTTAAGCGCGAAACCTATGACCTGCTTTGTTGTTAATAACACAATTTTAGGCTCTTTTATTTCTCTCTTATTTTGTATTCTGTAGTGAACTCCTTCTTAAACATACTTAGCTACCTAAATTATTAACATTGGCTTACTTTTTGGACTTTATTCTATTCCTTCTTTTGTGTATCTACTGGTTCCGACTATATTAGCACTATGAGTTTTACAAAATTGTCCTGTCACTAAACATCATGTAATATTAGTTTTGTGGTTGTTTTTTTTTTCGGCAATATTAAACTGACAACCATTGGTTGTGAAAGCAATTATCACCATCTTAAAATTTTGTATTATGCAGGATTACTCACACTACCACTACAAACACTGCATTAGACCTGATAAAAGAAAAAACAACCCTGAAATGTTATTTTATGATTGTTTAGTGTTGTTTCAACCAAATTAACTGATCATCTTGGCGATAAACATTCTTAAATATCATTTCATAACTTCTTGTATGACTACAGCTTTACTGTCACCATGCATAATCATATCATTGCTTCCACTACCCAATACTGAGTTATTATTATATGCTTTTTATTTTCCTTTTTACTTCTTGGTATTTTTTCGCATTAAAAAAAAATTATTTTGTGTTTTTCCTGTTTTTTTGCTGTTGGTGTCTTTATATTTATTTATTTTTTTGAAATACTCCTTTTAAATGTTTGATAAAATTAGATGCTGGAAATTCCACAATGTACCACTAGTACTGTTTCTGAAATAAAGCAAATTATTATTATTATTCAAGATAGAGGCCTGAAGTTTCTGTAGCAGTGTTGTTTATTTTCACAGGGTGGGGTTGCTATTCTCATGCCCAACCTTTCCTCTTTACCAGCTTTTATTACTGGCTTGGTGAGCGAGGTGGTAAAGGAGTGCGTCCGTTGGCCGAGGATAAAACCCAGGACCATGTACATGGTCGGCGAGTGTCCTAATCACTGTGTGTCGGTGGCGCAGTAGAAAGGTTAAGTAGGTAGTGGATACGTCGATAAGCACAGTACATAGTTCTGGACATCGTGACGATTATCTCCAAACACCTAGCATACATACAAAGGTGTCGTTACACAACAAGTTCATTTATTCGATAAATGTTAGATTTCTCCACCAACACACTGTTTATTTAGAGGGATTATAGAAAATCAGGGAGCACTGGAGCACATCTGTTTTTTATCCTATCCTGTGACCCTCCAGAACCTCATACCCACAACCCTATCATGTCTAGAATCCGGAAGTCTTTTAGTTTACTGGACCAAGATCTTTGAACATTTAGGTACTTGGAGTGGAATGGAATTCAATTCGGTGACCGTCCAATTAACCCTGGTATGGTGAAAAATTGCTTGGAGCTGTTTCAGGATTCGTGTTTTCTTCAATTGATAACAGTCCTCTGGTCGATATGAGTTTCCAATGCAATGCTTGCATCCAGATTAGTGCATTATCAATAAATAGAATTCTACATACATTAAGGCAATCTCAGTTCATTATGACAACAACATATTGGCTTGTCGGTAGCAAAGCCAA